CTGTCGCTCACTCAGGTGTTAGTCAACAGCCCCAGTCGCTCACTCAGGTGTTAGTCAACAGCCCCAGTCGCTCACTCAGGTGTTAGTCAACAGCCCCAGTCGCTCACTCAGTTGTTAGTCAACGACCCCAGTCGCTCACTCAGGTGTTAGTCAACAGCCCCAGTCGCTCACTCAGGTGTTAGTCAACAGCCCCAGTCGCTCACTCAGGTGTTAGTCAACGACCCCAGTCGCTCACTCAGGTGTTAGTCAACAGCCCCAGTCGCTCACTCAGGTGTTAGTCAACAGCCCCAGTCGCTCACTCAGTTGTTAGTCAACGACCCCAGTCGCTCACTCAGGTGTTAGTCAACAGCCCCAGTCGCTCACTCAGGTGTTGGTCAACAGCAACAGTCGATCACTCAGGTGTTGGTCAACAGCCCCAGTCGTTCACTCAGTTGTTAGTCAACGACCCCAGTCGCTCACTCAGGTGTTAGTCAACGGCCCCTGTCGCTCACTCAGGTGTTGGTCAACAGCCCCAGTCGTTCACTCAGTTGTTAGTCAACGACCCCAGTCGCTCACTCAGGTGTTAGTCAACGGCCCCTGTCGCTCACTCAGGTGTTGGTCAACGGCCCCTGTCGCTCACTCAGGTGTTGGTCAACAGCCCCAGTCGCTCACTCAGGTGTTAGTCAACAGCCCCAGTCGCTCACTCAGGTGTTAGTCAACAGCCCCAGTCGCTCACTCAGGTGTTAGTCAACAGCCCCAGTCGCTCACTCAGGTGTTAGTCAACGACCCCAGTCGCTCACTCAGGTGTTGGTCAACAGCCCCAGTCGCTCACTCAGGTGTTGGTCAACAGCCCCAGTCGCTCACTCAGGTGTTAGTCAACGACCCCAGTCGCTCACTCAGGTGTTAGTCAACAGCCCCAGTCGCTCACTCAGGTGTTAGTCAACAGCCCCAGTCGCTCACTCAGGTGTTAGTCAACAGCCCCAGTCGCTCACTCAGGTGTTGGTCAACAGCCCCAGTCGCTCACTCAGGTGTTAGTCAACAGCCCCAGTCGCTCACTCAGGTGTTAGTCAACAGCCCCAGTCGCTCACTCAGGTGTTAGTCAACAGCCCCAGTCGCTCACTCAGGTGTTAGTCAACAGCCCCAGTCGCTCACTCAGGTGTTGGTCAACAGCCCCAGTCGCTCACTCAGGTGTTGGTCAACAGCCCCAGTCGCTCACTCAGGTGTTAGTCAACGTCCCCAGTCGCTCACTCAGGTGTTAGTCAACAGCCCCAGTCGCTCACTCAGGTGTTAGTCAACAGCCCCAGTCGCTCACTCAGGTGTTAGTCAACAGCCCCAGTCGCTCACTCAGGTGTTAGTCAACAGCCCCAGTCGCTCACTCAGGTGTTAGTCAACAGCCCCAGTCGCTCACTCAGGTGTTAGTCAACAGCCCCAGTCGCTCACTCAGGTGTTAGTCAACAGCCCCAGTCGCTCACTCAGGTGTTAGTCAACAGCTTCTGTCGCTTCATTCAAGTTCTACATTGTGTTCATATGTTGAACTGCAAATTTATCTTTATTTAACTCAAATTCCTTATAATTCGTCGTTTTTATATTCATGCTTTTACAGACATATTTGTATTTAATTGTTATCAATTTTTCGACTTTCTCTTTTAACAATCGTTTCGTATTAATGCCAGTTATTATGTCATTGTGGTACTCGTAATGTGTTAAGTGTGGAGGTGTTCCAGCAGAGTCTGGGTCCCGCCCGGCGTCTGCCTCTCCCAGCCCGCAACCTGGGCTTCCTCTCCTGCTGCTGCTGCTGCTGCTGCTGCTGCTGCTGCTGCTGCTGCTAGTTCTGCAACCTGTCTTGTTTAGGATTCAGCTGCTGTGAACAAGACGTTCCAAGTAGCACGGGCTATGGTGAGCCCGTTGTGGACTTGCCTGGCGCAGGAGCGGGGCTGTAACTTTCCCTCGTGCTAGTTCTCTGTGATGCGCTAATATTAGTGGTGTAATATTGAGGGGGTGAGGTGCTTTTGCTTAAACTAGTTATACACGAGATACGGTAGCCCTGGCGATGGCTCGGGCAGGCGGAACTGTGAGGTAAGGTCGCCTTTATAGTCATTGGGGAGGGAGTGGAGGTGTCGGGTGCTTTGTGCTGGGTGGTGCCAACACAGGTACACTGGCCACCTCTTGGCACGCTTCAGGTTGTGCGGTGGAGCATCTATGGCAGGGTGTAGGGGGTGTTGGTGGAGCATCTATGGCAGGGTGTAGGGGGTGTTGGTGGAGCTTCACGTTAGCTGCAAAACTAAACAACGCATCATTTAGCACCACGACCTGGCCCCTTCCCCCCCCCCCCACAAAAGAAGAACAAGGTGAATATGGAAATTTTTTAAGGTTGCTGAATGCCCGAGATGGCTTCGAGCAGGATAGTCGGAGATGAGGAGTTCGAGAGAGACTTGTGGAGGAAGATGGAGATAAAATACATCTAGAATGAGTGATATTGAAGTGGGAGGACATTAGGAGGGTGTATGCACCATGCGGGGTTTGCCCAGACATTGAGAGAGTGAGTGGATTAGGAACACGTGGAGATAACAAGTGCGGAACGGTACGAGGTGAGAGGGATTGAAGCAGGAACCATGGTAGGTGGGCAGGATGTACAAGTGTTGGACGGCTGACATCATCCTCCTCCAGCCCGTCTTTGTTCCACCTCCTGTCGGGAGGGGGAGGACACCACCTGCAGGGGAGTATACCACCTACCCCAGAGGTGGGAGGGGGAGGACACCACCTGCAGGGGAGTATACCACCTACCCCAGAGGTGGGAGGGAGGGTCACCACCTGCAGGGGAGTATACCACCTACCCCAGAGGTGGGAGGGAGGGTCACCACCTGCAGGGGAGTATACCACCTACCCCAGAGGTGGGAGGGAGGGTCACCACCTGCTGGGGAACGGGGCACTAGCTGTGGTGAGCGGTGACAACATCGGCAGCGGGAACTGTCAAGGGTGCCAGCCTGTATGACCACACTAGACAAAGACACACAGTGCGAGCTTATTTAACGCTTATTGTTAATATAGTAATGTGTCTTCCCCAATACCAAGTCCAAGTGGTTAAACGCCATTCCTTTTCCCCGTCCCGTTCCAAATCGTTATCTTGACCCCTTCCAAGTGCTATATAATCGTAATGGCTTGGTGCCTTTTCCTGATAATTCCTCCTTCCTCCTCCTCCTCCCCAATACTAAGCTTTCACAGATATATACTTGCAAATAAATTAGGATTGTCTCCCCCAACGATCTCAATATATAGGCAGGCCATTATCATCACTTTAAGTCGTCTAACAATGTACAAACTAGACTCTATCAAAGATTACATTGTTTCTACACACAACCAGATAATCGCCAGATATATTCTGACCAATAACACTGATATAATTGACAGACATAACGAAAATTGAAGATTAGACTCAGCCGAAGCACTATGCATCAAACACAATTTGGGGTAGAGCAGTTAGTGTGACCACATTATGGTGGAGAGCAGTTAGTGTGACTACAGTTATGGTTGAGAACTGTTGTAAACACAGTTATGGGAAGCGTGGTTGATGTGGGAGGGAGGCGGGCCAGGAGGGGTCAACACACCATGACGTCACCGCACGGGTTGACCTCTGATCCAGAATACAGGTGAGGACGCGAGGCTCCTCCAGCCAGTGGTAAGAAACACCCAGTTGTCATGCAGCCCGGCCTCTCCAGTTGCCAGAACAGACAGAAAATGGTACACTAAAACAAACAAACCGAACCCAACCTAGAGGTCTTAAAGAAAACGTGAACGTTTGTGAGCCGATACAATACATCATATTTTGTTCGTTGGGAATTTGTTTCTGTACTTGCCCCACCCTTACACCAGAGGATGGGTCGTGGTACACGCCGGTACAGGCTTATGTCAGGTTCCTGGGGTCTGGATATAACGTCCTGCGTCAGTTCACCGTCTGCGTCTACTGACTGTGACGTGCGGAGTATACCTTGTGTTAGTTCCGGAGGGCTCCTGCCCCCCGCGACCGCCACTAATCTAACACTCCGACGGTGTTAGATTAGCCAGGCTTGTTAAATATGCCATGCAATATAATATTAATTTAGTAAGTTTATCATGCAACAATATTAATTCTCCAAGTTCGTTCACTCTACTCTGAAATCAGTTCTAAGAGGTCATTCTGGAATCATCAGTTACACTGCGGTGGTTGAAGATCACACGGGGAGCAGGCTAGCGTCACCACATGGCCCGTGCTTGGTGCCATGTGGTGGCGGCTGTATACACTGCACGTGTCCTGGTCTACCAAATGCTCGCCCCGTCTCAAACACAGTAATTCAAGGGTCTGGGGAGAGAAATGTGTGTAAATACAAGCATTGTTATACGTGAGTGTTTGGACACCTGTGACGCCGCCTTCACATGTGTGCTGCCCTTCTTCTTGAGGTTATCTTGGGATGATTTCGGGGCTTTAGTGTCCCCGCGGCCCGGTCCTCGACCAGGCCTCCACCCCCAGGAAGCAGCCCGTGACAGCTGACTAACACCCGGTACCTATTTTACTGCTAGGTAACAGGGGGCATAGGGTGAAAGAAACTCTGCCCATTGTTTCTCGCTGGCGCCCGGGATTGATCCCGGGACCACAGGATCACAAGTCCAGCGTGCTGTCCGCTCGGCCGACCGGCTCCCTTGTCGGATGCATGACACCACTCAAACAGTTCTTGACAAGACGTTAGGTTCATATATTCCATGATATATCGGTAAGTATCGCTCGGCTTTATGCCCTTTGTTTACAGAAAGTGGATCATGCTGTTTACCCTTTGACTTATGTTTGTACAAGTCTGGGAACTGATGCTGTTGTCTTACTGTAACGTGATCTTGCAAGTGGTGCGTGACAAGCGTTATACATATTCTAACTATTTTTAGCATAAAAAAGCTGTTACCACATTTTTAGTCAACACGTATAACATTGGCGAAGTAAAATTAATTGACTGAGGTTGGATAATAACGATGATTTTTTTTTCTTTGATTTACAGATCTCTGACATCATGGTGGGGCAGGCGGAGAACCTGACGGCCAAGGAGGCCCTGCTCCGCTGGGCCCGCAACACCACCCACAAGTACCCCAACGTCGAGGTGAAGAACTTCACCACCTCGTGGAGGGACGGTCTCGCCTTCGTCGCCATCATCCACAGAAATAGGCGAGTCTTGTGCTAATGTCAAGCGGTGTTCCTGTGCTGGTTATTATGTACACCACTTGTCTGCCTCGCTTGTGTATACCTCGCTTGGCACAGGTGGTGGTAGTGGCGGGCTAGTCTGGGGTAGTGGTGTCTAGCCTGCCACAGGTGGTGATAGTGCCGGGCTAGTCTGGGGTAGTGGTGTCTAGCCTGCCACAGGTGGTGATAGTGCCGGGCTAGTCTGGGGTAGTGGTGTCTAGCCTGCCACAGGTGGTGATAGTGCCGGGCTAGTCTGGGGTAGTGGTGTCTAGCCTGCCACAGGTGGTGATAGTGCCGGGCTAGTCTGGGGTAGTGGTGTCTAGCCTGCCACAGGTGGTGATAGTGCCGGGCTAGTCTGGGGTAGTGGTGTCTAGCCTGCCACAGGTGGTGGTAGTGGCGGGCTAGTCTGGGGTAGTGGTGTCTAGCCTGCCACAGGTGGTGATAGTGCCGGGCTAGTCTGGGGTAGTGGTGTCTAGCCTGCCACAGGTGGTGATAGTGCCGGGCTAGTCTGGGGTAGTGGTGTCTAGCCTGCCACAGGTGGTGATAGTGCCGGGCTAGTCTGGGGTAGTGGTGTCTAGCCTGCCACAGGTGGTGATAGTGCCGGGCTAGTCTGGGGTAGTGGTGTCTAGCCTGCCACAGGTGGTGATAGTGCCGGGCTAGTCTGGGGTAGTGGTGTCTAGCCTGCCACAGGTGGTGATAGTGCCGGGCTAGTCTGGGGTAGTGGTGTCTAGCCTGCCACAGGTGGTGATAGTGCCGGGCTAGTCTGGGGTAGTGGTGTCTAGCCTGCCACAGGTGGTGGTAGTGGTGGGCTAGTCTGGGGTAGTGGTGTCTAGCCTGCCACAGGTGGTGGTAGTGCCGGGCTAGTCTGGGGTAGTGGTGTCTAGCCTGCCACAGGTGGTGATAGTGCCGGGCTAGTCTGGGGTAGTGGTGTCTAGCCTGCCACAGGTGGTGGTAGTGGTGGGCTAGTCTGGGGTAGTGGTGTCTAGCCAGCCACAGGTGGTGGTAGTGGTGGGCTAGTCTGGGGTAGTGGTGTCTAGCCTGCCACAGGTGGTGGTAGTGGTGGGCTAGTCTGGGGTAGTGGTGTCTAGCCTGCCACAGGTGGTGGTAGTGGTGGGCTAGTCTGGGGTAGTGGTGTCTAGCCTGCCACAGGTGGTGATAGTGCCGGGCTAGTCTGGGGTAGTGGTGTCTAGCCTGCCACAGGTGGTGATAGTGCCGGGCTAGTCTGGGGTAGTGGTGTCTAGCCTGCCACAGGTGGTGGTAGTGCCGGGCTAGTCTGGGGTAGTGACTGTCTAGCCTGCCACAGGTGGTGATAGTGCCGGGCTAGTCTGGGGTAGTGACTGTCTAGCCTGCCACAGGTGGTGATAGTGCCGGGCTAGTCTGGGGTAGGGGGTGCCTGACCCGCTACAGATGATGACTGGCCCTCTTACAGCTGTTCATACTTGATTCAGATCTTGCATTATTTGAACAAATACAAAGATGTCCTGAACAAATTGTGTTCGGGAATTCTTTGTAGTTTCCTTATTCCTTTGGTATATATCATGAGCCATTTCTGGTGTGAGGGTGCTCGTGGTGGTCCAGCAGGCAGTGTTGGTGTGAGGGTGCTCGTGGTGGTCCAGCAGGCAGTGTTGGTGTGAGGGTGCTCGTGGTGGTCCAGCAGGCAGTGTTGGTGTGAGGGTGCTCGTGGTGGTCCAGCAGGCAGTGTTGGTGTGAGGGTGCTCGTGGTGGTCCAGCAGGCAGTGTTGGTGTGAGGGTGCTCGTGGTGGTCCAGCAGGCAGTGTTGGTGTGAGGGTGCTCGTGGTGGTCCAGCAGGCAGTGTTGGTGTGAGGGTGCTCGTGGTGGTCCAGCAGGCAGTGTTGGTGTGAGGGTGCTCGTGGTGGTCCAGCAGGCAGTGTTGGTGTGAGGGTGCTCGTGGTGGTCCAGCAGGCAGTGTTGGTGTGAGGGTGCTCGTGGTGGTCCAGCAGGCAGTGTTGGTGTGAGGGTGCTCGTGGTGGTCCAGCAGGCAGTGTTGGTGTGAGGGTGCTCGTGGTGGTCCAGCAGGCAGTGTTGTGTTGAGGGCCACACCCTTGTGACAGTGTTGGAGAGTTGGGGTGGGGGGTGGGGGGGGGTGTTACAGGTGTGATGGTCAACACGGTTAGTACCTGTTGATCACCGTGTGTGTGTACTACTAATATCTTAATATTCATGTTCGCATTCCTCGTACACAGTAGCACCCGCCACACGAGTGAAGACATCAGCTAAATTCCCAACATCTCTCTCTTTCTCTTTTACCTAGCTCAAGTCTTGCTTATTCTGTCCTGTTACGTGTTCACTTTTCATCATAAAATCATAATTTGAACACCCACGCGTGTCATTGACCGTGTAGCCGCTGTTACTCCAGAGACTAACTTCTCCAAATAGAATGTTTACACACATAAATGACTTGACTGCGGTTTCCTCTCTGCTGTGAGCGGGTGAGGGCGGCTGTAGGAGGGTCAGCCTGCCTGCCGGGCACCAGCGGTGTGTGTGTGTACCGTTGGTGAGGTGAAGGAGACCCGCTCCCGGCCATGTCACGTCCCTCCTCCACCACTGGACTTGTACCTTGAGCAAGCTCTCTGCTCAACCACAAACAAATTACATACTGAGCATGCACAATATTTCCCGACACATATCACCTCTATTTTGTATAATGGTGTGTATGGGTGTGTTTACAAGCGTGTAGAAGGTGAAACAGGTGTACATGTTGGGCGGAGGCGACTGTGTACTCACCTAATTGTACTCACATAATTGTGCTTGCGGGGGTTGAGCTCTGGCTCTCAACCGTCAATCAACAGGTGTACAGGTTCCTGAGCCTACTGAGCTCTATCATATCTACTCTTGAAACTGTGTATGGAGTCAGCCTCCACCACATCACCCCCTAATGCATTCCATTTGTCAACCACTCTGACACTAAAAAAGTTCTTTCTAATATCTTTCTAATATTAATAAGAGTGAGTGAGTGTGTGTGTGTGTGTGTGTGTGTGTGTGTGTGTGTGTGTGTGTGTGTGTGTGTGTGTGTGTAATTACCTAAGTGTAATTACCTAAGTGTAGTTACAGGATGAGAGCTACGCTCGTGGTGTCCCGTCTTCCCAGCACTCTTTGTCATATAACGCTTTGAAACTACTGACGGTCTTGGCCTCCACCCGTGTGTTTACTAGTTGTGTTTTTTTTTTTTTTTTTTTTTTTTTTTTTTTTTTTTTTTTTTTTTTTTTTTTTTTTTTTTTTTTGCGGGGGTTGAGCTTTGCTCTTTCGGCCCGCCTCTCAACTGTCAATCAACTGTTTACTAACTACTTTTTGTTTTTTTTCCCACACCACACACACACACCCCAGGATGCAGCCCGTGACAGCTGACTAACTCCCAGGTACCTATTTACTGCTAGGTAACAGGGGCACTTAGGGTGAAAGAAACTTTGCCCATTTGTTTCTGCCTCGTGCGGGAATCGAACCCGCGCCACAGAATTAAGAGTCCTGCGCGCTATCCACCAGGCTACGAGGCCCCGAGGCGTGTGTGTGTGTGTGTGTGTGTGTGTGTGTGTGTGTGTGTGTGTCAAGGAGTGTTTTCAAAGGTTCTTGCCAAGTCAGTGGATGTTGTCAGCCCAGGTGTGTCAGAATAGGTTTCCCCCGCTGTCATGACGTCAGACGCTCATGAAGTCATGGCTGCTTGCTCTTTGGCAGCGACTGTTGGTTGTATTTACTCCCTCGTGTACCTGGAGGTGTTGGTTGACACGGAGGCGGCTGCACCAGTACCCACTACTCCCTCACCCTCCATCCTCCTCCTCCTTACTTGACATTCACCGCCGTCTCTGTTGTCACATGCGGTCACCACTGGTCTCCCAGTACTGCCAACCTGCAGCTTCATAAAGTACATTTAATGTAGTATTATGCATCTAACTTTATATATGTACTCTTAATATGTATACGATACATTGATACAATTTTGATATCTTATATTTGTGACGAGTGTATTAGCTTTGTAAGACGTTATAATGCGTGTGTATGGTAGCTTGCTTAGCGCATGGTAGCTTAACATCCTAACAGGTAGAATGTGCGTCTGCACGCACACGCACTCACTCGCCATATAACGTATAACAGAAACGTCAACAGACCCACTTAGTTACACATCGCTGCCCATTAAACTTTGAATGCAAAACACCTAAGTGGCAGATTTCTGTTGGCACACACCCCTTGTTGAAGTCATTAATAAACACTACCACTTTGTAAACACTTCTACTTTGTATCACATCCCGTAATAAACACGACCACTTCATTAAATTTCATTGGAAGCCAAGTTTAGAAATAACTTAGTTTGAAATTAAAATAACTTGTCCACTTAAAAACTAAATTATAAATAACATTTGCTAAGTGTTGTACATGGCGTGTAAAGAAAGCCACGAGGATAAACATCAGAGGAAACACTGACAAGGGCTGCTTACCGTCCTTTATCATCTGGTATCTTCCCCCTCCAGCGACATCATCCACAGCAGAAGTGCGTCTCGAAGTGGGGCCTCCGACACTGTGGGGTCTGTTCCAGGGGGCCCCGAGCCAAGGGTCACTGGGACTGTGCCGTAAGTCGTCGTACACTTTTGCGCCCAAGTTGTTCTTGTTGTGTTCGTCCCTGTTGTCACGGCATCCTGTCACCTGGTCCTCTTGTGTCTGCACTTGTTGCGCCCAGAGTGGTTCCGGCTGGCGTCCTGTCGGGGACGCCTTTGAGACCATCATTTTGAGTAGGGAGAGAGGAGTCAAGCCTGGCCTCGGGCCGGGCTTGGGGAGTAGAAGAACTCCCAGAACCCCATCAAGCAGGTATCAACCAGGTCAGGGAGGGACAGAGAGAAGAGGGGCGGGGGTTCCTTGGAGTATGAAATGTTTTTTGGGCTCTGGAAATTAAGAGGTCTGCTTCTGGTAGTAAATGAAATATTTCGTTTTTCCTTAAATCGTGCTAAAGTAGCGGGCTTCTTGGCGTGTAGGTGGGGGAGGATGGTCTCCCTTGGCTGTCGCCACCAACATCAGTTACTACAAACCTACTTGAAATACTTGGTTACATCTGCATTGTTAAACAAAGTTTTAGTCTTGGACTTGAGAGTTATCGTTCCACTGCTGTAATGGTGCTGTAGGCGTATACTGTGTACATGTACAGTATCAGGTACACACTCGTATATTACATATAGTTTACTCAGGTATAACCATATTGCCTTATATTGACAACCGGAAGTTCTTGCCACAGTCGCCTTGGTAATTAAATACATGTTTCCAGTGATGTTCATGTAGCAGTTATTGCTGATGCGTTCTTAAGCATTGTTTACTTCCACAATATTCCACTCGTAAAATGTCCGTTAACTTTTGGCTTCAATTCTCATCTCCGGTTAGTTGCTGAGGTCGTGCCTTGACTTCTCTAAAGGTGCTTTATAGTCATAACATGTTGTCATAGGTGAGTGTGTGATGGTTCAGGTCAGATGTAACTGTGTGTGAAGGCTTGGTAGATGAGACAGCGGTCTCGTGTTTCAAGCATGGGTGAAATTGGACCCCCTGCATCAGGAAGGGTGGTGTCAAATGGCTCAGTTACACCTGTTTATCACAGGTAGCTACCTGTAATGACAGGTAGTTAATCGCCATCAGGGCGGAAATACTCGCTACGGGACACTATTGTAGCAAGAGGGCGGCGGTGACAAGCGTCGGAAGTGTAAGGTTTTACCGTTGGGCTTGTGACAGGTGATTGTCGCTCTCAGTTAGGGATAGTTGACCTGTTTGCTGCTGGTGGTGTCAGCAGGACCAGGCTGTGCTCAGTCTTCCCAGTGAGGCCTGAGGAACCCGCCGATACCACCCAGTAGGACAACATTTGGTAATTACTCAGGTAAATCACACGATCAATTGGTTTGGTGTTAATGACAATTTTCACCACCTGATTCTGAATGAAAATATTGTATTGTACAATATTATCGGTATTTGTTAATAAATGATAACAATGTTGTTAAGCAACTAGGTAACTGTGATCATTAGGTAACTGGTGAGTGCTTCGTCTACCGCCAGGTGCTGGATGGGGGAGAAGTGCAGACAAATGTGTGACCTTGACCCCAACATCTTCCCTGGCCATCCCCCCCCCTCTTTCCCAGCACAGTCACTGCTCGGCGTATAGTACCCCAGTACACCCCCCCCCACCATCCATGCCTCGTGCCCCTAATGTCCCGTACCTCATGCCCTCCCCCCCCCCACACCTAAGAGTGTGGGTAGCGTGAAGACTCCTGCTCTCATCATGTACTATAGTGTACTTCTCTCCTTGTTGTGGGTGTGCACTGACGAGCCTGCATGAGCCTCCTGCATGTACCTAACATTTGTACAGTCACCTTGGTCACTCGCCGCTACCTCATAACCCGCTGCTTAGTTCTCACATCTCCTCCTATGATGTTGTATTTAATGTGGCTTAGTGTGTTGTGATGTTTGTGGTGGGGTGCGCTTGTATTGTTGTACCAGCCACATAGTTGGCTGTGTTGGCCGCGTTACTGTAATAAAGGCCACCAGCTGCGGTCTCACGCCCCGTAGCCTCTGCCAGTCAAATATTTGTATTGTTCATGGGTTTAATTATGTTATTAGAAGTAGTTCCTTACATTTGACGTGACTATTAATTAGGAAGCAGTCTCACCTCTTAGGTCATTAACGTGTTGCCCTGCAGCCCAAATTATCACTGTTAGAAGATATCATTAACGCGGTGGCAAGATGAATAGTTCATGGGTAGTGAGGTGGGAGTTTGTAGGTGCAGTAGTAACGCTGTGGCTCCTCCTCCCTGCTCTACAGACCCGACCTGGTGGACTGGCGCAACCTTCGCCAGAGGATGCCCAGAGAACGCCTCGAGACCGCCTTCCACGTCATGGAGCGCGAGTACGGTGTCACCCGACTTCTCGACCCTGAAGGTGAGTGTGGACCTGGCTCCCTAGGGTGTCTGAAGGTGAGTGTGGACCTGGCTCCCTAGGGTGTCTGAAGGCGAGTGTAGACCTGGCTCCCTAGGGTGTCTGAAGGTGAGTGTGGACCTGGCTCCCTAGGGTGTCTGAAGGCGAGTGTGGACCTGGCTCCCTAGGGTGTCTGAAGGTGAGTGTGGACCTGGCTCCCTAGGGTGTCTGAAGGCGAGTGTGGACCTGGCTCCCTAGGGTGTCTGAAGGTGAGTGTGGACCTGGCTCCCTAGGGTGTCTGAAGGTGAGTGTGGACCTGGCTCCCTAGGGTGTCTGAAGGCGAGTGTAGACCTGGCTCCCTAGGGTGTCTGAAGGTGAGTGTGGACCTGGCTCCCTAGGGTGTCTGAAGGCGAGTGTAGACCTGGCTCCCTAGGGTGTCTGAAGGTGAGTGTGGACCTGGCTCCCTAGGGTGTCTGAAGGTGAGTGTGGACCTGGCTCCCTAGGGTGTCTGAAGGCGAGTGTGGACCTGGCTCCCTAGGGTGTCTGAAGGCGAGTGTAGACCTGGCTCCCTAGGGTGTCTGAAGGTGAGTGTGGACCTGGCTCCCTAGGGTGTCTGAAGGCGAGTGTAAACCTGGCTCCCTAGGGTGTCTGAAGGTGAGTGTAAACCTGGCTCCCTAGGGTGTCTGAAGGCGAGTGTAAACCTGGCTCCCTAGGGTGTCTGAAGGTGAGTGTAAACCTGGCTCCCTAGGGTGTCTGAAGGTGAGTGTAAACCTGGCTTCCTAGGGTGTCTGAAGGCGAGTGTAAACCTGGCTCCCTAGGGTGTCTGAAGGTGAGTGTAAACCTGGCTCCCTAGGATAGAGAGTATATCAGCCACATGCAACACTACACCACATTTGTATTTCGATTAGATCGAAGTTAAACTTCACAAACAGTACATAGACATAAATGTGGCTCCATGGAGCAGCGGCTGCAGCAGGTGGTGGTGGTGCCCAGAGTCCGACTACCGCCCTCTTCACTACACCTCGGTGGCGCCCTCCTCCGCTCTCACCCACATTAGTCTTTTGAAGATCAGTGGTGCATCAGTTACCATATAGATTAAAGCAGTCGTACATTACCCATACACATGACCCTGGCGTAGGGAGAGTCAGAGAGCCAGTCCGACAGTTAGGAAGACAATGTTCAGTTTACAGTGTCTTGAAGCATAACTCAGAGATAGAAGACTGCCAGGTGGCTTCTATATATCCACCAAAGTCATTCAAATGTATATCTAACCCACGCTTGAAACAGTCTAGTAATCCTGCCTCTATTATATTACTCGGTAAAAAGGAAAGGTGACATGTTCTGTAATAATAAATGAATAAAAGCTTAAAACATACGAAACAAAAGTATATACAAAATATCAACTCAAGACAACAGTATGTTCAACTTTGATCAATTTTGATTCACAAAAACGATATAGACAAGCAAGCGTTGATGGAGCGAGCACTAAGGGAAGTTTGAAGAAAAGGTTGGACAAAATACACAAGTGAAAATGGTTGGACCCAGTTGGGTGTTGCCTGACAAGGGCCAGTAGGTCTCGATTGATTGATTGATAAAGATTAAGTCACCCAAGAGGTGGCACGGGCATGAATAGCCCGTAAGTGGTGGCCCTTTTGAGCCATTACCAATATCAAGAGCTGATACTGGAGATCTGTGGAGGCGCGACTGCACCCTGCGTGACGGGAGATGTCTCCCGTGAGCAGGTCTCCTGTAGTGCTCTTACATATAGGTCAGTGTGAGGGAAAATTTCAGACATAACAGAGAAGCAAATGTGTGCTGGAGAGACCTTATTAAGTCCAGGCCACGGTTCAACTGGTCAGAATGACTTGGTGAGATGTGTGTCAAGGCTCCGCCCTCTCTCCCTCCCTCACACAACCTCTCACTTCATATCCATGTAAATAAATAAGATTATACATTGAAATATCGTAAAATACAAAGAAAATGCGTTAAGATTAATGTTGCTATATAAATGTCCCGTGCTCTCTGCATCCTGCATGGTATTTGCACATGGACAAAAGTTGAATAGCGTGAAATTCGAACAGGAAAGGCGGTAAAGGTTCTGCCAGCGTGCTCGGGCAGCAACGTGCAGGAGCAGAGTACACAAAATATATTGCTATTAAACTACAAAACATCATTATGAAAGAAACACATTTGAAAGTTATATAAGTAGGAGAGAAACAACAATGAAGCCAGATAACTGTAAGTAGCATCATACATTTTCCAATATAGTGCGGCTCCTGGCGGCCTCTACATGCCGCAGGTGGTGATAGCCTATCGTATGCTCCTTTCAGTACCCCTTAAACCCTTCTATTGCTTGTGGGATTAATTAGAACAGAGGAAACACCTGGGAGGGAGAGCCGGTGCTTGAAGAAAATTGAGCCAGTAGTCAAGGTGTAGAACGACTCTAGTTACGACTACATATATCTCCTCCCTCACGCACAGGCACAGGTAGACTCACTGGATAACGTCTGCAACTGAATGTTGTCTTAAACTGGAGGTGTCAGGCAGAGAAGACGAGGTGTAGGCTTTGTTAATGTGCAGTAGATGAAGCTGTTGTGTAATGACTGTTGGTGGCGTCTCCGCTCAGCCTCGGGACGGAACAGGGCTGAGAGTCTAGGCTTGGTGCAGTCAACGTTACCCGCGTGTTAAGTTTGTCTGCTAAACGCGGTGGTAACTGGAAAAGGTACAGAGCTAAACTATAGCTCGACAGATGTAGTTGTGTGACCTTTTGCGATGACAAATTTGTGAGAGTAATGTGGTGGTCTTCCTGCAGATGTTGATACCCCAGAACCAGACGAGAAGTCGCTCATCACCTACGTGTCGCAGCTCTATGAAATATTCCCAGAGCCACCCAGCATCCACCCACTTTTCAACATTGTAAGTACAAGG